CTTTGAATGATACAGTTACAGTTTCGGTTTTTGGAAGGGATTTTGTATAGCCAGTTACAGGATACAAAAAGCTTGCATACACAGTGCAAAATATATGTGTTCAAGTACTCGTACTAGGCAAAAGAAAAGTTATAAAAACTGCATGTAAGCTCACATGGATGTAAGCTAATAACTGTCAACAATCTTTATCCTCAGTAAAAATATAACACTAGATACAATTTTTCTCTCCTTTTGAAGCACGATTAAAGTACGAGCAATAGAGATGATAATTTCTGGTGTAGAGTTGAAGTTGGTTACTGAACGGACCCGGCACACAACTGTTGTGCGTAATTAAGCTCCTGTTATTATCACATGCATTGCCTTCGAAATCAAATTTCTGGGCTTTTAAAACATTTGAGTTTCTTTGATCCCGTCTATGGTCAAAAGAAATTATTTAACTTCAGTTTGAAAGTTGTTTTATATTCCTGCAGTTATTTTAAGGCCGTATTATGCGCGGTTTTTGTTCAGACTTATTTAACTTTCCCTACCTCATAATGGCGGCGAGTGAAAGGGAAGAACGTGGTGGTGCAATTACTGATAGGGGGGCTGAAAGATTTCAATTCGGGGATACGATCATTGCACAGAGAAGAGAACGACAGACGCGAACATTCGTTTATTTTGTACAGCAGATATCCCCATTGAAGTTGAGAAGGTGAATTTTTAGCCAATCAGCGGTTTTTCCGCAACCAAAGGAATGCGGTTGACAGGTCTCAAAAACCGCTGATTGGCTGGGGACAGGAGGGAGAGGTGAACACGTCAGATTTGGCTGACCCTATGATCATGGCAATTATGACGTCACGGCGAATGATGCGCGCAAATGCAGAAAATTTTCGAAAATGGCGGCGTTGCCTCTAGTTGATACAACTTTTTGAGGCGGATTTCTCCAATCATTCCAGCTTTAAATGGTGTTGTATTTGGATCTCAAGGAGTAATTATCATGTTTCTTTCTTGAGAGGTAAGTAGAATTTAATTATAACTGGAAAATCTTGCATAAAGTGTATTTAAAGTGTTACAGTCATCGCTCTCCAATGGAATTATGTGGGGCAAAATTTTGACCATTCGCCCCGTAAAATTGCCTTTTTTTACGTGATCTGTAACTTAAAGAAACGTGTAACGTGGTCACAGAAGAGCTTATATGTGTAGGAAGACATTGTAATTGAAGATGATTTTGAAGAATCGGTAGTAAAAATGATCAGTCCATTTGAGTATGAAATATCTGCGATCTCATGCTCGGCACATGTTCTGCAACAGTCCTAGCAAGCAGAAATATCCA